TATATATATATATATATATATATATATATTTCATATCTTTTTTTATTGTGAACTAGTAATATTGTGAAAAGCAATATTCCATCCCGAATAAATCTATATCGCTAAGAAACGAATTCAACAGATTAGCTTTCCCGACAAATCATGAATTACTTATGATGACCGCCTCTGTCCCATTTGTAAGGTTGCCTCCACTTTTTATTGTCTTATCTGAATATCGATAAGGTCTAATTAGATCACCGAGACATCACGATGAGTCAAATTATTCCAAGTCCATTTACTCTGGGCTCGTTTTATAGCTTTCTAATAATTTTGGTATTACGAATAAAAGTAGGGAAGATTGATTTCACTGTTATAGAGTCAATTACCTTTGGTGCTTTCTTGATAAATCATCACCTCTTGTTTCTGTAGACACGGTGAGATCTGGAAATCGATGGTATTAACAGTGAATTTAATAAATACTTAAGGGAATTGAATCCTCATGAAACTTTCTTCGTACTATTAAATTTAATGAGATTGAGGCATCGTAGCAGCAACGTTGGTTTGGAGCATAATCTGTCTTGTCTAGTATTAAAGAAACTGTGTCGTAAGTCGAGTTTCAAATTTTGTAAAACGCTTTTTGGAAGAGCCGGCAGGTATACGCGAAACATGCAACCGCAAGATTATTCAAGTTTGTAACACTACAAACACGGCGTTGTCAAAAGGTCTATAATCTTAGCGATAGTATACAATTGATACGTAATTTATTTATTAAAACAAAAAAAGAAAGATTGATCTGCTTATATCAATGAATAAAAATGGAATTTTTCTTCCATTGTTTTCGTTCATGCTTTCTGTAGCTTAAAATTAAATTTTAGAAGGCCTCATAAAATTCCAGTGGATATCTTGTAGAAATTGAACATGTAAGGAATGGAGTGTTTAGCAATGAGTTCGTTTTTAGAGTTTCCCATGGGATTCTAGAGATCCAAAGCACAAAGAATTTCTGTGGAATCCAGAAGCCTTTTCAGAGAAAAGCAGTGATATCTTTCCCGCATTTGCCACGGTTTTGCTATAAGTAAACACTGGAATTTATATTAGATTACAAGACCGTATGCCGAGATTTTTAGGATTTGTTTGGTAATTTTAGTTGCTTGCAGAAGTTAACTGTTTTAGCTGTTGGAATGTTGTCTACTTTGTTTCATCATTTTGCTATTAAATTACAAAAACATCTGCTCTAAAGTCGCATGTATTTCCAGTTCACATTGCAGCGCTTCAGAAGAATTTGTGTAACTGCGATAATATACGGGAAATTATCATTACATTGCATGCTAGCATTGCTGTATGTTATCGATTCCTGGAGATTTGACGAATTGAAAAATGCACACATTTCGCGAGCTGGAACTGAATCAGCCCGTAACATTGAACTATATTACTTGTTTATGCTGTACTGTTACTGTCGACCCGTCCACAAGAGTTGGAATTGGAAAGTGTGCTATTATGTTAGCTTAATGAGAAAGTCCTGTGCCATTTGCAATACCTGAATAACAACTTGCTAATTTCAGGCTTAAAATTTTGTCTATCAGCCATAAATATGAAATTTGTCAAGTTTCAAGACATTACTGGTATTAAGCTATATTATCGAAGTGTTATCACAAATATTCATACAACATAAATAAAAATAAGACTTGTGGAGATCTTTTTTTGGTTCAGCTGATCAACCGCAATGTGCCTTGGATATCTGCTGACAGGTCGACTACGGATGGACGATTATGCCAATTCAGTGTGCAGGAAGTTTTTCACCAACAAGTTTTCCACTGAATTTAACTTTTTTAACTCGTAACACCAATGAATTTGGTGGTTTAATTGAATTTAGCTGAAAGGCGAGAATTTCCAATCTCATATAGGGGAACCAGGAATTTCCACAGAATCTTGCTAGCCCATTGGCTCAGCTGAAGTTCTATAGTGTCACGTTAAATAAGTATAATTCAGTATAAATGGAACAGCTAGATTGCTAATAGTAAAAGAGAAAGGCAATGTTGGGATATTACTAGTGTCATAAAGTTGTTCTCCGGTGAGACAATTGAACAGTCATGCCATAAACTTGGTGTAAATGACCACGAATAAAATTAGGGCTTTATTATGTTTGAAAGTGCTGAATAAAATGTTGGATATGGAAAATTTGTGACTCGTGCTTGCAAGACTCAGACCTGAGTCCTGCAATGATCAATTAATACTATGAATGTAATTCGTCAGAGAGTAGCAATAAATGAGCATGATTTGTCCATTTCTACTTGTTTTCAAAGATTTACTCAAGAATGACTTTAGCTATTGACTAAATTTCTTGCAGATTTAATAAACAGCTTTAAAAAAGTCTCGCGTTACTGTTAAAAAGAGTTTTGTTGTTGTAATGATTTTTCCAAAAATATATGAATTTTTAAGATCTTTAAAAGGTATCAATATTTCGAAATTGAAACTTCTTAACGATTTATAATAACTTCGTGATTATAGAAATTATAGAAAAGTAAAAGAATATGTCAAACAATGAGTTGATTTTTTAACTAATCATATGGTACCCCAGAGTGACTCCAACCAAGTTTAGTGGATCGTAGAAACTATTTCCATATTAAATATTTCAACATAAACATCGAGGATTGGAAGGATTGGAAGTAATTATGCAAAACTTGAATAATACATGCGGCAACCTTAGTAGGCCACATATAAGTGCTATCAACATGCCATAATGCAAGCTCATTGGTCTTAACGTCAATGCACAACTGATCCACAATCGACTAACATAAACGTCATGGATATTACGTCTTTTATACAGCATTCGAATATTGAAAACAATCTGCGAATAGCCTAATCAATGAGTAAATTAAACAGAATCTCTTCTGGAATACCGACATCGTATTTCAGAATGCTCAACTAAGACTTACGTTTAATGCTACAACTTTAAATATAAAAGCAATTGTTAGTGATTGTGTAGATGAAGTAGAATTATAGCATTCTGAAATATGAATATCACAACATTTTACACTGTAGAACTCGCTATATAATTGGGACATGACTTTACACATTTTAAGAGACTGATTGTGTTGGCAAATAGCCGGGTAATATTTCAATAGTAAAAGCTGATTTCATTGAGAAGGAGAAGAGGAGAACAGCCGAAATGAATAACCACAGATTGATGAGGACTTGAATTGCACTTGTCTCAGCGATCACATACTCACGTTTCCATTCCGTGTATGGACTACGAAAATCTATAACTCGATAACAATATTGGTATGCGAATGCTGGCAAATAACAGTGACGTTGAAATGGGAAGCGATTCATTAAGGATCTAAAATAAGTCCTCAAACAGGTTGTATGCTAACAGCGTAAATTAGGGGGATTTGTCATTGAACACATCTTTCAGTGATGAGATAAGTAAAAAAGGTAGATTGGAAATTGACAAAGTAAATTTTTAATTATAAAATTCGTCCCTTCGATTACATATAAAATTAGACACTGTTAATTGCCTATCTTTCAAGTGCTGCATAATAATACCAGTTAATGGTATCAAAAGAGAGTACAGAATACAGTTTTTGTTGGGTAAAGTGCCAAAAAAACTCGATCGACTTATTTTGGACAAGAGGGAAATAAGACATACCTCGTAAAAGAGCAAAATATTCCAAATGATGCTGCAGCAGCCAATGCCGTCGCAATTCCCGAGCCAAATATATTTGCTAATCGAACAAATTTACCTAAATGTTCTCTCTCCACTTTCGAAATGATACTTCACGACATCGCAAGTCGCAAGCAGTTATCATACCATGCACGTTCAACAAAGCCAAATTTTATCTGGCCTATACTGCTATTTTATTTCAAAACTTCACTTCAGTATTTAATTTCCTTGAGTTACTCAGTTAAGTTTGCAGTAACATTCTAATGTTACACCTCGATAGTGGTATTTCCAGGTAACAATGCATTGAAATACAGTATAGAGACCGACGAGAACAGCAGGCCACAGGTAGAAATATGTACAACAATAGAAGCGATGAAGCAATGCAGCGGGAATCATCATTATGCCAACTACCAGTTGACCATGATAAGAACGGATTAGATACCTGAACAGATTCGTTCTAATTAACTTTCAACATTCCCATAGAAAATGAGATTCAATTATGACTTTGCGACATTCACGCTTTCGATGGCATTATTTGACTTAATTTCAGTTCCAATCTTTGCTATACCCGAAAGCACAGAGGTAAAAGGCAGAAATTATCTTCATCATTTGCATGTCTACTTATGTATAAAACTTCACATATTAATTTCTCACTTATCGAAAGGAGAATTATTTCTGATAACTCATTTTCTACCTTATTTCACTAGTGTATAACTACAGATCTATAAAGTGTATAACTACACTTTTGTGTATAACTACATATCTATAAAAGTCAGTGATAAAATCTTTTATCATTTTCACACCCGTCGATCAAGCACGGATATGATTGACGAAATATTCTTAACTGCGGGGAAAATGCTTAGGAGTATAGAATGATTACCCATTCTCTTCGGCGCTGTAGTAAGCAAGAGCTGTACAAATGGCAGTATGCGCAAATGCAAATCCGCTCAATAAGAACGATGTCATGAAATTTATTGAGTTTCTGTGGGAGGTTATATCCAATTTGAGTAGCAATGAATCATGGAATGGCCTTAAGAAATCGTTACAATACTTTTGATAACTTGATGCGCGATATGATAGGCCATAACACAGTGCTTGCAACATTGAAATCCCATCTCCTACAATTATGTATAGATATCCTCTTTTCTCAATACCGAATATATCGGTAAATAGAAGTGATTTGAAGGAATGCATACCTGAAGCATCACGGGCGTCATTATCCTTTACCCTGTCCAGTATACCATCTACTCCACAAAATGTCTCAGTGGCTGATGATGCTAGTAGAAGCAATCCCAATGCTGTAGAACAACAATTGAGTACAAAATCCATTCTGCAATGAATTGAACAATGTGAATCATTCTTCTACTGATAGAAAGTGTGCAGTGGTATGGTTAAAAACGAATAATAACTGAAAAGGTAATCATTGTCCCATTTAATGCTCCGCATATTGTTAATCAATTTGTAATTTTCAACAAAAACGAATAATGAGAAATTCCAAATTAAGACAATAGTAATTTCGAATTAAAATCAAAGGCTTATCACATTGTGATAAGTTGTTTTTACAGTGCTCCGTAAAAAAGACCTATCCGATACATCGCATTTCCAATTTTGTTTTCGCCTTCACTTTTTGACAAAAAGTTTCTCCAAAAGTAGGTATATATGCAAAGAGATATTACAGTCAGTAGTAACGCCTCTTGCACTATATATATATATATCGGTGTAAATTTTAAATACACATTTAATTGTAAGCAAATTTTTTCTCTTAAACAGCACTTTTTGTCCCATACGAGTCTAAAGAGATTAAATATATCAAATTGTGGAAAATATATCAATTATGTAGAATATTTGAGGGAATATTCAATATTGGGGTAGCAATAAGCTGCGACAAATGCCTATTACTTTCCGCATTTGCATATCATTTGCTACTGTCCTTCTTCTAGCAACTAAAATTAATTAAGAAAGGTCTAAAAAATGCAAATAATGACGAAACCTGTTTGAAAAACGAAGGAAAAGGGCGTGAAAAGCGGTGATAAAAGCGAAAACAGCAGCAATGACTGGTATCAGGAAAGGATGGAACGGTAAACAGAATAGCACATGACTGATTCCAAGCCAAAATTCACACTGAAATTGTTCATGAATTGATGAAGTTGAAGACTTCCAAGCTATTTTCGAAAATTATTGTAGTTCTTCAAAATAGTGAGTCATTTTGCAAAAAATTTTTTGATCAGAGAAACTTATAGTAATCCTCACTAAAATCAATAAGATGGTGAATTAAATGGGTGATACTGGTTCTTGCTAATTTCAGAATGCGCCACACAAAAATTTTCAGCTGAATATCGCCAAAGTCATCTTTAGTATATTATTGCAAAACCCAACATTGAGTGCATACAACCAAAGAAATTTTAAAATACCTTTTCAGATTCTAAAATCTTTTTTTGAAACAAAATATTTTAAAAAGGAATGAAAAAAACGACTTACAAATGCCAACAAAATATTTTAAAAAGGAATGAAAAAAACGACTTACAAATGCCACAATAATAAGAAGCGGATTTAGTGACCAACAAAAACCGTTTCGACTATAAAGTGCCATCCTACTTTATATGATCTTGGTAATACTGTCAAATAATAAAGGCCAATATCGTGAATGATATAGCAAAAAAAGCACTGTCATTCTTCTTTTCTGGAATAGAGTACTAATTCTAAGCGTATATGTTTTGTTTTCTTTGGAAAACAGTCTAGAAAATTCCATCTTCTTATGTTTTCAACGTTTTACAAATATAAAATTTGCATAAAAGAAATGCACGAAATATACACACACACATACAAGCTATAGTTTGAGCTTACAATGCTTCTCTCTAAATTTTGTCAGATTTTCAGATCAGATCTGTAAAAATCGCAAAAGAGACCCCTCAAAAGACACTCCCCAAAAGTCTTTGATTTAAACTCCTCAAGTTCTATCTCGCTATGCAAATATAAACTGGAATCCATTAATAAAAATGAGAATGACATGCTTAGTATTCAAAAAAAAGTTGTAAAAATTTGCTTTCATCTAATCTTCTAAGTAATCAGTCTTTGTTACAAGATGCGAACAATGTGATCTACCGGAAAACAACAAAACGAAAATATTTTCAATTTGATGATTTATTAAAATCAATAATGAAAAGTGATCTAATTAGGTTTTAAATGGTACATCGAAGTCAGAAACAAATTTTAAAAATTAAAAATGATCGGGAATTTATGACAACAATGACGAAATGAGTGGTTCCAGCAAATGCAACCCTGACCAACAAATCTGAGCTTTTGAAACTGATACTTAGGGGACGTAAATTAGGAGGAGGTATGATTAAAGCCAAATAGCACAATTTTAGAACTATGAATTCTTTAGTGATATGTTCCTTAAGTCATCTTGAAACGGATTTATATTTGCGCTTAGAAGAAAATTGTGATAATTTATTCAGAAGAGCTTTGTCAGTGAATTCGGTTTCTAATCTGCTAAGATTGTAAGAAGTGCCGCAGTTAATTTAGAAAAATAATCTGCCCGATAAGCGTTGCCACTATTGAGCGAATTGTTTTTGAAATGGGCAGCTAAAAATGAGAAATAAGTAGAAACAAATTTTCGCTATCTACTTTTGATAATTGAGTTGGGCTAACTAAACTAGGCCTGCTTGCTTGGTTAAGATGAATGCCTTTCCATTAGTGATTCTTAGTTCATCAATGAACTATTTATTTGGGACCAGAAGTAATGATGAAGACAAGCAGCAAAATTGCAGCACATTCAGTGGCGCAAAAAATGAAATTGGGAATGAGCCAAATGCCGACAGACTCTCCAAATTCAGATACAGAGTGAAAAGAATTTACATTCATCGGCAACGACAACTGAGATCATGGATTAGCAATTTTTTTAAATAAGTCTGAAAGGACAGGATTGTTGTGGTGCCCACAGTGGTTCTCTCGAGATATAAATCATTTAATAAGTATTGTTTCTTAATGTGAAAATTAGACTAGATTGAATTAGCCTTACCTCAACTCTATACTTTTCAACTGAAATTGAATTAATTCTGCTAAATTTTTCATTTAAATTTGAGTCTCCTGCTATGATTTCATTGTTAAAATTCATCTGATTTATGATTTCTGATGGGTATCTTAAAGATTTTCTGTGATTTCTTTATATTTTTCAACTAAATCTTATTCACAATAAACAATATTTTAACTCACTGTAATGCTGTCGTGGTAGATTTTTTTTTATGTAAAAGTATTTGGCACTTTGTCATACCCATACATTGTGTCTAATACATTTTCACCTCATTTAAAAACGTCATATGTCACTTAATGACATTAGCAAAAGCTGTCATAGCAAGCTTTCACCACCACAATTTCAGTTTTACAAATTTTCAGTATGCCGAAAGTTTTATTTTCTATAATTTTTTATAAAAAAGAAAGTATAAAAATATATAAAAATAAAAATATATAGAAATATATTAAAAATATATAAAAATATAAGTTTTTTTACAATTTTATTTTTTTATAAAAATAAAACATTTTATAAACTTCAAGAACTTTAATATTAATTCAAAATATTATTATAATTGATTCAATATTATTTGTTGTCTTTCTTGAATGAAAGAGTGTCACATAAAAGGAAATAAAGATTTTCAATAATTTAAAAACCATTCTATTTTAGTGTTCGATCACCTCCTTGACAACTATTTAATCTTTCAAAATCTCCTCATAATGCGCCAAATCAGGATTCAAACTGTCAGCTTTCGTAATGTTGTCATAAAAAGTAAAAGTAAAGATAGAATGGGAAATGTTTGCAGATGGAAATAGATTCGAGGTGCAGTTCTACTTCATCACTCCTCTTAGCTACTGTGGTTGTTTACCTTCCACAATACTGTTATTCGAGATGGAAACTACGGCGGTGTACATCACATCAAATGAGGACAATTCTTCTTATCCTTCATTATTTCTGGAAAACAAAGTCCAAAGGTCAATACCAATTCTATTTTCTTCCAGCTTATTTTGAATTTTCGAGAAACATCAAATTTTTAACAATGATTAAATTGTGACTGAAAAATTTCAATCGTTTATCTATAATGTTGTATTAAAATTTATCCTAACTGATAATAATTTGATATCTTTGCATTAGTAAGCAATACTTATTGCAATCTACTTTGTGATAACAAAGACTATTCGGCCATTCATATCACACATTTAAGATTGTACATCCCACCAAATTGAATATCAAATCAGAAAGTTAAACTCAAGATTTGAGCTGTCATCCCATTTGTTAAGAGATTTTGGTTACATGGCTTCTGCAAAATTGACTTCAGATCTCACTTCAGTTAGAATGTAAGACAAATATGCTGCATTTTGTCTTATTATCAATCGAACAGATTCCATAAACATATATAAGTTGGGATTCGAGAATTTGTACGGAGAAAATGCATAATATTCTGGAGATTAAGATGTAACGGGAAAATGTCATTTGAATAAATCATTCATCTCGTTCAGTTTACTGTTTTCTTACCTATTCCTCTGAAAGTTTACTTAAAGAGACAAGCAGATTTCAACAGACAAAGTAAATGAAGAGGATGAGACAAATACCGTGTACCGACATCCAATGACTGATGATAAAAACCTTGAGAGGGGCGGACAAATTTTAATTTACCTGAACTCCGCGTTAATTTGGAGTGGGATAAAGAGGAGAATTGGGAAGCTGATCAGCAATAACTCATCCTCGTTTGCTACTGGTCTGTTGAGTGGTAGCTGAGAATTTTCTTCAGTATCCTTGAAAAGTATTAGCTAAACAATACTTTTCGATAGATGGATGGATGGATGATTCATATGCCACTTTAGATTGTTCTACAGAACTGAGCTAGCCAACAATCAATCCGTTCTATCCCTATCAGTTAACAAGTTATTTTACTTCATTTTACTTAAAAACTGCTCAACGGATATTTACTTTTTAACAACTCTTTATCTCATCAACAAAAACAGCGTCAAAAAAGTTTCTTCTAATAAATACATGTTCCCGTTGAACGCAGCTGCATTTGCAGCAGCCCACGCGGCTGCTACCACTTCTGGATCAACGTTTGGAACAGCAACAGCAATTGCTGGATTGCCAGGGTCAAACTCTAATTCATTGGGGACATCACAATGTCTGGCTACTACTACTGGTGCTCCAACAACAGCTAATTTCAAGTGAGTTGAAATATTTTTGATACAATTAAAAAAATGCAGAAAATATGGATTTCATATTTTACATCAAGTTAAGTAATACCCAAGTGACATTTGCAAATGGACTGTGTTGATGGGATTCCTTCTAATACATGTAATACTAAATGAGGTATAAGAGTGGTACTAATATGATATCCGATAGCAAGCGTACAAGTTGACGTAGAGAAAGGGAGAGGGAGAGGAAGAGAGAGAGAGAGAGGAAAAGGAAATAAAGTGAAAAATTGTTTCACTCGGATTAATTGTTGCCTTTCAAGGACAACTCAGTGTAGGTTGAATTATCATCTCAATATGAAATTCATAAACATTTTCATTTCATAATGTTGATTCAATTCATTCTTAAAATAAATTTAATTCAAAGAACTATTATTGCTATTTGAGTGCGTTCAGATCATATATGCTATTACAAGCCTATCCTTGAATTGTTTTTTGTGTTCTTTTTTACAAAGCCTGACCATGTTTTAAAATTTGTTGCCGCTATTTTATATCTATTTTTGAACGAATAAGGAACAACACCAGTTGTATGACCATAACAACCATATTTGTAGTTAATGAGAAACTCAGTCGTAAAAAAAAATAAATCAATGGTTTTAAAAAGAACGGAAAATTGTCTTACTAAGAAAAACATGCCTTATTTATATGAACTTTTCTCGAAACTTCTTAAGTTGTCAAAGTGATTGCTAGTTTTATTTAAGCTACAAAATGCATGATATTGAGGGGTGTCCACCACTATCTTACATTATGTTACAGCTAATATTGTTTGTTGCTTTAAAGACGAAACACCTTTTATCTATTGAAGTGAAAATTTTTTCATTAAGTTGCTTCATCAAACACAATTTTTCTTGTTATTTAATGCAATCGTTGAATCATTCTTAGGCCTTCCACTTTCTTTACAAATTGAACATGATATGATACTAATTTCAGCTTTCAAAAAATTTTGTTTCTTCAGATGTGAATTACTAAAACCAGATATACTTGATGGTACAGGAGTAGGTAACTGTCACAGTTGTCCTTCATCTTCTTGGACCGATCACTTACCATTGCTCGGCGGTGAGCTTTTCTTTTTAACTTCGGATTATCCACTGGTATCTGATTAGCCAAAAAATTTATAATTTGTAAAGAAAGACGCTTTCATAATGATTTTCCAATATCACAGCCAAACACTGCCATGTTAAACCTACTTGTTCGCCATTACTTAAATTCGAAACTTTTTTATTTACATTGGATAAGATGTCCTTTCAACTGATATATTGTAAATTTGACGATTGCTGATATGTTTAATTGCTGGATCCATAATACTACCACTATTCAGGATACCACCGAGTTTCACCGACACTTGATGCATCATATTCACCATGCATCACTTCTTACCCAATATATGATCAAAGTTCATTCAACACAAACCAATCTTATCGTACATCATCCGCTGCTCCTCTCGGTTTGTTACCGTCTTCCTTTTAAG